CAAACTCTGGAACTCACTCCCACCCGACATCCGAAATATTGACTCTCTTCCTATATTCAAAACTCATCTCAAAACCCACCTATTTAAAATTGCATATACAGTTTAAACTCATCGCTTTTATTGTTTATAATTTTATCTGTGGTTTTATTGCTCTTTTGATTGTAAAGTGTCCTTGGGTATTTTGAAAGGCGCTTATAAATAAAATGTATTATTGTTATTATTAAGGGCAGTGTCGGGGACAGTGACAAACACAAAGGGTCATGGACATTAGGGGTGTTCACATGGCAAGATTTGCTCCAGTGCTACACCGGCGCTGCGCCAGTAGAGCGTTCACGCGTGCAAATTTGCTCCGGTGTAGCCCCGGAAAACAGCTTACACCGGAGCAAATTTGATCCACCTAAGGGAGGTGGTGTAAAAATTTGCTCCAGAGCAAATGCTCGTTTGCGGGGCAGCACCGATGTAAAATGGTACGTGTGAACGCTACAATTTGCTCCGGAGCAATGAGAAGAGTTGATTACGTACGGCAAGAATGCCTTGCTTTCGTGCTCTGTCGGACTTCCGTCATGTGTTTGTTTAATAACAAGACACAAGACATGGCTGGTAACGTAGCAAGCACCTCTTGGGTTATACCATTTCAACTAGAACGGGCGGGGGAATAGTCCCCAAACGTCATCTTTCCTTTTGTAGGAGACTGGACTGTCTCGGAGTTGTTTGTGTAGTTTGTTCCTTTGTTGTGTATTCACAACCCCCCGCCCCCCTTAGAATTTATTTTGTGATTTCCTCTCTTGATTTTTCTGTTTGGCGCATTACATTTTTGCTTTTCTGAGTGTCATTGAAGTCATCGTTGATTTACGTTTTCGGCGGCGGTCACTCTAGAGCAGAAGGCACGGAGACCGAGAAGGAGAAGGACGTGCCTTTACAGTAGTTGCTTGAGTTGTGTATACGTTTTAAAAAGAACCAACGTGACAGCTCATTTGTTTTGTGTCGTTTTGCTCCGCTGCAGAAACTGCCGTGTGAATGCAAGTGGAGCTGCACCGACGCTGCGCCGGTGCTAATACGCTCAGGGGCTTTGTACATGTGAACGCTCCACAAAATTTGCTCTGGTGTAAAATATATCGCAACAAAATACATCGGTGCAGCGCCGGAGCAAATGTGTGCCGTGTGAACACCCCTATTGAGTTGTGGAGATGAGCCTCAATCATGGCTTGCATTTGTTCCACTCTGATCCTGCTACTCAGAAGTTGGAAAATTCAGCATTATCGGTACATATCTTACGTTTACTTTGCCGTGTGTCTAGATACAAGGATGCAATGCCATAATTTCGGTAAGTATATGTGTACACAATATACTATGTACTATACCTGGAGCACTGACTACATGTATAATAAAGGGTAAAAATACTTCATAATTGTATTTCTGGTGGCACGGGGAGCATTTGGCTCGCACTGGTCCTCTTAATTCTTTCAATATTTAACCATAATGATGCACGAGTAGGCTGTTTTCTATTAATTAACATTCATGGACCACATACTGCACTGGACGTAAGCAGAGTCAGCAGAACAACTTTTGGAGTGGGGTGGCGCAGTTCTTAGTGGGGACTTCCAACACTGAGAGCAACCAACCTCAAAAGCTAAATACACATTGCTGTGATGGGTTGCTATCTGTTAATGATGATGGCAGTTTGACACTAACGTGCTTAAGCTCCAGTTCCATAGAACTGCTGCTTCAAAGCTTGTGTCAAATCACACAACAGCAAGTATAATGTCCGAAGCAGCAACAGTTTCATTTCATGAATGAATCAGCTGACTGGTTCTGCACAAGTTGGCAAGGTCAGTCAGCACTGACCAAGCAGGTAATCCCATTGTGCGCAATTTACAGCACGGTACCGCATCGAATTGCAAAAAATAACGCTAGGCTGATAACCGCAGTCTATATATCTGACTGTCCTTCCAGTCCTAATGGGTCTCATCTTCACTCCATGTCAGGCCGTTCATGCAAAACATATTTCGCATTCAGAGCATCTGGCTCGTACATGTATGGTTCAGCACAGATCTTGCCAACAACCTTCTCTTGCTCCAACTCTTCAAACACCGAATCCCCTCAGATAAGTTTGAAACATCGCTTTCTGAATTGATTTCTGACTTGCTTTGTACACTTTTCAGAGTGAGCCCTGCTATTGTTCTCCTTGAAGTGACGTCACACTGACGGGTTCGACGCTCATCAGAATCTCACTTCGGGAAAACAATTACTTTGTGGAATTTATGAAATAGAAATTATTTTTCAAGCTTCACTTCATGTATTTGTTTAATGACTTGACTTGACGTGACATAAATATATTTGATGCATATTTGGAACTTAGAGTCTGCTTGGAATTGAAACAGATTTACATGGGACAGGAGAAGTAAACCAATCTCATTTTTTTCATCAATGGATGCCACAGCTTCTTGTTTACTTTAAAATTACTATTAAAATCGATTACTGCAATGCCCTTTACTTTGGAGTCAGCCAATCCTCCATTAAGCGACTCCAGCTGGTCCAGAATGCCGCTGCTCGCCTCTTGACTTGTACTCGTAAGAGGGAGCACATAACTCCTACTCTGGCATCCCTTCACTTGCTTCCTATACATTTTGGAGTTATTTTCAAGATCCTATTATTTGTTTTCAAATCTCGAAATGACCTCGCGCCACCTTACCTCTCTGAGCTCATCCGCCCCTACACACCTGCCCGGCGCCTCAGATCTGCGGACCAGACATTATTAGAAGTACCAAGAACTAAACTGAGGCTCAGAGGGGATCGAGCCTTTTCTGTTGCTGGTCCCTCTCTCTGGAATGACCTCCCACTGAACATTCGGCAAGCCTCCTCGCTGCCCATCTTTAAAACCCACCTCAAAACTCACTTGTATTCTCTGGCATTTGACTCAGCATGACTCAGATTTTTTCTTGGTTTTGCTGTTCGGTGCTTTCTACCATCTTTGTTACTGATTTGTTGCTTTACTGTTGTATATGTTAGTTGCTCCATGTACACCACTTTGTGTGCAGCGATGGCTGGTATAGGGACTGAACAGCCCGTATCCGGGGGTTTGGTCCCCCATACCCACAAAGCACCTCATCCACCCCTGGGGCCTTCCCACCACATTTTTTTAAACCACATCAGTGATTTCAACCACAGAGATAGGAGAGCCCACCTCAAAAATTTGGCTTGAAGCTGACATGAACATTATGAGCAATGACGTCTCTGATCCACTGGTGAAAGGACACGTCAGTTGGTTATTTTTACAAGCCGAGCCAAACTGTAATCATCAATTGGTCAGTCTCTCATGTTATTTTAACTGCGTTTCTGTCAGTAAATTTCACCGGGCTGCCAATGTATCGATTGCCGATCCATCAGTCCGCACAAAGGAAAAAAAAAAATAAAAAAAGTACATGTCAAGTCATACAGATGAAAAATCCAATTTTATTAAAATGGTAAATGGTGGTCATTCTGCATCAGTGTATGTACCCTCACCGGCCACTTTATTAGGTACACCAGTTAGCGGCCACTGAAGCTGTGTTCCGCTTAGCCAGTCCATAGCCATCAGCTGCCTCTGGGGTCCCACAGGCCATAAAGGCCCAATAGGACTCCTTCTTCAGCTTGACGGCATCCCTTATTGCTGGTGTCCACCAGCGAGTATGGGGGTTGCTGCCACGAAGAGGCACTAACCACCTTACGGCCACAACTCAGATTGGCCGCCTGTCAGAGTTCTTTAGCCGGACAAAGTTAAATAAACGACTCGCACACAGGGAAGATTGTCTTTCTGATGGCAGAAGCGGATCTCTGAGAGCGAACGACGGTAGTTGCTCCGTGATCACACTGAGAGATCGTTGTGCTCCTGTCGGACTTTTATTATTTACATATGCAAAATACAAGAAAAACACTGCCCCCGATACTTGCATACCACGCCCCCAGCCCAGCCCCTAAGCAGTGATCTGATTACCTTGGTTTAAGCTTTGAACCGCAGATACGTTGACACCTTCCAGTCTGGTACACAACGAATCAGCAAGTTGCAGACTTTGCAGATGACAAATGTCCGCCTGGGCACGACACCCGTTCCCAAACCTTTTTTGATGTTCTACAACACTTTGTTCCCAAATTTGTGACCGAGTCTAGCCTTCTTCCATCTGTTCGCCCCCTTGCTTTGACGTGATAACTGTGGACTTCAAAAGCCCTCCGCCGAAACGGACGACACCTTTGCGCACAGGTAAGTGGGGGCGCTGAATACGCACCCAAATGTCCAGACATGCCCAAATTAAATGAAACTTTAAACATGATACCATTTTGCTTGTAGATTTCTCTATCACCACCTCAACAATAGAGGCATGGAACATGGTCCACTCGGACTCAATGTCGTACCCCCCGGACATGGGAAAAGCTCTGCTGGAGGTGGGAGTTGAAACACCTTCTGACAGGGGATTCCGCCAGACACTCCCAACAAACCCTCACAATACGTCTGGGTCTGCCAGGTCGGACCGGCATCTTCCCCCACCTCTGTGATATCAAGGGCTTTCTCAGGGAGGATCGTCAGCGTCCGAGGACATTGTGAGCAGACTGGAGGACACTTTTCTTGAAAGTCGCCCAATCTGTCACTTTGTCGGGACCCAGGGCATCAAGAGTGCGGCGAATGGAGTGACTAAAGTCTGGCATTTTTGGGGTCACTGAGTAAGGAGGAGTTGAAGCGAGGAAGAGTGTTTTGCTTGTTGACTCAGAGCTTAAGCTTAAACTCAGCCACCAGCAGGCGATGGTCTGTGTTGCCAAGCTGTGCTCCTCTGTACACCTGGCAGTTGGTGACAAATTACTTCCAGTGTCGGGAAATGAGGATGTGGTCCAACACCTGCCTAGTTCGGCCATCTGGGCTGTACCATGTCCAATGATATGTTTCCGATGTTTGCGGGGAAATCAGGTGTCAGTGACACAGAGGTTGTTATGGTGACAGAGGAGGAGGAGGCAGTTGCCATTTTCGTTTGTGGCCCTGTCAATAAAGGTGGTGACGACAGGCGAGCCAGGGGGA